TTTTGAATAATCTTGAAACAATACAACGATTACAAAATTTTCCGAGCAATTACTTTTGCATGCCACAGTTAAGATCTAAGTTATATTACTTGTAAATTTGTTGAACAATTAGTCGCTTTTGATTTTCACACCAATTCAAAGACTCGTTTAAACAATTTCCCTCACAAAAATATTTTAATGAAACGCTGTATGAATAAAAATCATTCCTTTTTTGTTGTATACTTTTAATTACAAAAGAGCAGATTCTACGTGCAATTTATATACAGTTTCAGAGGTCTAAAAGATCTATATATATAGATCATTTCTTCAAGAACTTCACAGAATATATTTACAAGAACCTTAACGATAGTAACTGAAATCAAATAAAAAATTAAAGTTGTTTGCGCGATATGAACTGTACAATTAAATCATGAATTAAAATAGTAAATACATCCTTTCTGTTATCATTAATTCTGCTTGTGATATAGTCGTATTAATCAACGTATATTTTTTTCTGGAGATCGATTTTTCACCAGAAGGAACCATTAATAACGTTTCATAATCTGTTAAAAATATTTGAATGATGAATTAATATAAAACTTCATTACTTTCATAATTCAAATAGTTAATTTCTTTGTTCATTTAATGCAGTTTTAACAAAAAGAAAAATTCTATGAGAAGACCTTTTAGAAGACATCACATCTGTATTCAGTTTGTTAATATAATAATCAATACAAATTTGATGAGAATTATGGTTATGATTTGTCACTAATATACAGAAAATTATGTTTATTTACAATCGCAGCAATTTAAATATTACGGGCCCGATTAACACATAAATTTGAAGAGGAACCCAAGTGAGCGAAATTCTATTTTTGTTTAATTACTCAAGTGCTACGCCTATTTAATTACAATGATCACTCGTGTATGATTTATCACTAAATTTGTAATAAATCAGTAAAAAGTAATTTATTATGATTAACATTATTGTTTAATAAACGTAACTGCAGTTACATTTTTGTCAAATGAACTTAAATTATAGACAATTTCTGCCAAAAAGTCAGATTTCTTTTTCCTTTCGGTACCTGTCTATAAGGAATAAATATTATTTTGTACAACAAAATTTTCATTCGCTTAATGCAAAGGTAAGTTAGTAAAAAAAATGAATAGGGCCCCTTAACTAGTAGCCTAATTACTTACTTACATTCGGATTATTCATATTGTTCATAATATTGCCTAAACTATCAATATTATCTGGTACTGTCATTGGATGTACCCTTTTAAATACTATTTCATCACGAGTTCTTAAAACGATCAGATGAACAGAACAAACAAAAGGCAAAAGAAAAATAACTAAGGGCCCTCACTTTTCACCCTTTTCACTCTCGAGTCACATTTTTCACAAACTAGTAAGAATTCAGAGTTTCTCACAATTAGTAAAACAATTGATTGTACTAAAACTCAGAATTTTTATTATTTTAAAAAATCTGAAGAAACAAACTACTTCTATTTTTGGAAGACATTCTGCAATTATTTTTATCGAAATACTTTTAAACGTTACACTTCTTGTTATATCTGATGTAAAAAATATTACTTTCTTTTTAAATGGGTATATTAGAAATGTAAATTAATGTATTTAGTAAAAATGTATAATTCTATTAGAAAGCACTGTTTACAAAAGTTTCTAGGGTCCTTGCAACACTTCGAATTGACTGCATATAAATTTTGATTCATTATCAAAAGGATTAAAGAAGAGAATGTAACAATGAAAACACAAATAAATGTCTTATCAAATGTATGATAAAATAAATGAAAAAAGTGAGCCAATATCATAGATATAAACATAAATTGTGGAAGATGTACTGCTTTTCTCAAGAGTTACAGAGTGAAAAAGAGAGTATAGGTTACACATACACGCACATTCATTCATCTTAGGCACATTTACATACTCGATATAAAAGCACATCACAATGATCGAATCGACGATCTTGAAGAGTCTTTCGTTTAAAGCGATCCTTCGGTCGATATACATATACATACAATAAGTTTCTCGAAGGTGCGGAGAGCCAAAATTGACTATTCGAACGATCAATATTAATGATTTATTACTTCTGATCGCTTCGTAAAACATAGTTTAATATAAGAAACAAATTAATTAGATTAAACATATTTTTCGACATCTGTACTAATGTCATATTTGCAAGTGTTCATTAATAAAATAAATATTATTGACCTTACATCGAGATCGAGTAAATAAAACCTTTTCGAGAGACTCAGTCTTATGTTGGTAAATTATGAATATATTTTAAACAATTTTAAATGTTTTTATTTGTATGTGAACGAACAAAAATAATAATATAATATTTGGACCAAGATATAATTTTAAAATTGAAGTGAAGAAAATGTCTCAGAAATAGTAAGTGAAATATATATCCAACTAATCGAAGAAAACTCCTTTTAATTTATTAAAAACAATTGATCAATTCGAATATTCAAAATCTGAATATAATTAGGTTGGCTCCCTTAAGTGGCCGTTCTTTGTTTTGAAGGAATGAAAAGGGCAGCGCTTTTGAAAAAATCGTTCATGTTGCATAACGTTTAGTCCAAAGTCGTGCTATACGATCGTGCTCTTCTCTATTCTGAAGATACTGTGTTGCTATACTTCCTACTAGAGGATCCGCTAAAAATGTAACAGTGAACAGTGTTACATACACATTTATTTCTAAAGACATATGCTATAAATTGTGCAAAAATCTTTCAATTTACATTTAACGTTTTCCTATATAGTTTAAAAAAATATGTAATATTTCTCGTGAATTATATCAGATGATTAATAAAAATAACTAATTAATTAGATATATAATAATTTCTTTCTCTTCAATATTCACATAATGTTGACCACTATAATACAAAAAATTAATAATGTAACACTTATATATGTTAGAATTTACCTGGATTGCAGTCCGTCAGAAGTGAACAAATAGACAATAAGACTTTAGAAATAGTAAGTGCAGGCGACCAATTGTCTTTTAATATGTCCAAACAAATGACGCCTTGACTGTTTATATTACAATGATAGATACGTGTTCGGAATGTGACCTAAAACAATTTTAAAAAATTTGATTACTCATTACTGTTATTTTCTTGTTATATTTTGATTTTCCATTAATCTATACAGGGCGCCTCACGGATGGTAACTATACAGAACATAAGTCTTTGTGAAAAAATAAAATGTTATGCACAACACAATTTTCTTCTGTATTCCACAAACAATTTTTGTCTGTATTTTCGACTTATTTTTTCATATGAAATCATACTCCTCATGGTTGTATCATCATCCATTCGATAATATAAATTTAGCAATATTGAAGCTACTTCCACACCTTTAACATGGATATTCGTCGATGTAAAATTTTATGCATGTACTATAAAAGCATTAAAATCGCAAATCAATTGGCTAATGTCCCTTATTAGTTGATCTTAAAAGACTTCTATCAAGTAGTTTCTGGTAGTAATGGTATAGCAGTAAATGCTAGCAGCTTACTTATATTTCGTTCAGGAAGCAAACATTGACTGATTATGGAATTCATACAATTTGAAATGACAATAACTTTTATATAGTGCACTAATAAATCCAACATGTCTCTTAACACTCGAATGGTAGATCTTTTTATTATTTATAACTTTGTTTATCAATGTTCTCGAACGTATTTTCTAAGATGTTCCTTCTAGAAACTTTAATTTTTCTATAGACCTTAATGAAACATTTGAAAATTAATATTAATTGCCTATAACTAGATATTTATACTTTTGATCCAAATAGACCCAAATTCTGCAGTCTGAATATTAATACATATGTCATACAATGCTATAAGATATATGAACTATATATGTCTTCTAATATAATTTATTAATTAAAGAACTCAACTTTTTCGATTTATATTGAAGTTGTATAGTATATCATAAAGTAATCACAGGAAAAGATTAATAATTAATTACATTATCACTACAATACCTTTGGTGGTTTGAAAGGGTATTCCGGGGAAAAATGTATGTCTAGGAAGAACACTCCTCCTTCATAAACTGAACCTGGTGGTCCAAGTATAGTTGATACCCATTCATATAAATTATCCCCTTTAGGTCCTGCACTATAAAACACAGAAAATAATGATTAAATATTTATAAAATGTATAATAAAATATATGAAGTTTCCATGAAAAAAATTTCCTAAAAGATCACCTATATCAAACAAAATCAAATTTTCATTCGCTTTGAAATAATGCTATATGGAAATAGAATGAAGTATCTATTAAAGACTAAATAAATAGAACATATTACATATTTGCCTTATTCTAATAATTTAGGTAATTAACGACTTAATACATTGTTTTTATAATATCTTTTTAGTTTTTTTGAAATGAAGTCATGAATCAAATTGTGGCAAGATTCCGGATATTGTAGACACATCAAAACTAATTCTAAATCTGAAAGTTTTCGTCTTAATTAAGTGACAAATGGAAACGTGAAATGGAGTGTCTACCTATTCATATAATATTGTATATGAATATAGATACTGTTTGCAGATATGCATGTTGTCATTGAAGTAGACTGCTGTAAACAATCATCAAATCTGTTATGTCTATTTTGTATTTTTTAAATACCATGTTTGCCATTAATTCCTCTATTGTAATTCAAACTCTTAGAGTCTTACTCATTACTTCTAAGAATAAAATTTACATTGGTTAAAAGTTAATTAATGAGTGCGAACCTGCAATTTGGAGGAGGGTCTAATGTGATTTCTGCCAACTCTTTTTGTATCCTGTAATAGAAGATTAATTTCACAATTACAGATTTTTATAGCAAACATGTCTTGATTTTTTATTATAATTGTGGTACCTTTTGGCAGACGTTCCTAAAGCTTTCGACATCTTTGGATTTGGCTTTGCTTCTTTGTTCTCTGGTTTATTGTCTGCTAGCGATGAACCACGCCCTCTGCTAGTTCCACTAGAACCTGCACCCGATGACATGGCTCTAAAATAATTTGTATTATACTACACAATTAAAGAAGAGTTGATAAATAACTACAACTTGGTACGTAACAAGATTGTGACTCAATCAGAAATTCTAAAATAATATATTAATAAATCAAACAAGAAAAATGTAAATATACCTGATGCCCTGAGCTATGGGTGTTGAGAACTTCTTACGATGATGTCTAAGTGCTCTTATAACAAATCCTATATTTTCAACAAGAACCTCTAAGTGAACAATCCTCTTACCTAAAATCAAGATATAAGAGATAATGAAAGTATAGTCCCTAATGTTTAATATACATTAATTTGTATTAGGATTGAAGATATTATTTGGAAAATGACTACCAAATGAAAACACAATAAGCAT